TGTAGAGCGCATTTTTTCTCAAGGTGGATTTGTAATGCGTCCTCATCGCGCATCATTAACTCCAAAAAATGTTTGTTTGCTAACTTTTCTTAAATGTAATAAGTCTTTGTTGTGAATTCATTGATGTCAACTTGATAATAAAGGAACACTTAGTATTATGATTAGGACTATGATTTATGACTTAGTCTGTATTTTTCTTTCAACGATTTATGAAATATAAGCATGTATGTTATATTCCATGTTAAGTGTTTTAAATTTAAAGACCTAATAATTTCACCCTAAATGGATCATCAGCGATTACGATATCTCTAGTACTAGACTATCAATATTGGTGCTTAAGCTACTCGTGCTTTTACTTGCCCTCGAATAGTTGGTACTCGTACTCGTACTCGTACTCGAATAGGTGGTACTCGTACTCGTACTCGTACTCGAATAGGTGGTACTCGTACTCGTACCCGTACTCGAATAGTTGGTACTCGTACTCATACTCGTACTCGAAAAACTCCGTACTTGCCCAGCTCTGAGCTGGTAGGTGTATTTTTTTTGTTATCTAGCTGTGACAAAACTCTTTAATGTCGAAGAAACAAAGTTAAATTGAAAAAACATATCGAGAATTCAGTAGAGAATGAATCATTACATAAACTATTTAAATGCTCGATGAAAAGACAACGAAATTTAGTAATCACTTTGTATGTACTTCCAGTTGATTTGTAGTCACTGAGCAATTCTACCTATTCGAAGTTCTCAAATAAAATTGCAAAATTTTGTTACTAGAAAAATCTGTGAAATTAAGTTTAATAGTTGTCATTATAGACTGTTTGCTTTTTAGATGAAGCAAACAAATGAAAACTCTCCGATGAATTAACTGTTCTACAATGTGTATATCAAGTAATCAAATCCAGGATATTCTAATTTTTGCTTTTCTAAACTCTGTGATACGTCTAATGCACTATCGCTTAGGAATTAGTCTTTTCCCCATGTCTTTTCTTTTTTCTCTTTTTGAAGATTTTCTAGTTGAAAATATACATCTAAACTTTTTGCATGTATTCATTGTATTTTTTCTACACTTATCTATAGATTCGTTTGGTTCCCAGTTTTATTTATTTCTGCGTATCTCCGTTTGTATTGGTAACAAGGATACGAATAAGATCTATCGAAACATAACTTCTACAAAAATAACAATATTCTATAGGTCTAGTATTGATAAGTTATGACAAATAGAATGGCTGGCTTTTCAAGGATAGAAACAAAGAAATCAAAACATGTATATCCGATAAAATCCTGTTCTTGGTAGCATCATTTTTAAAGAGCATTATATTTATGAAGGACTCTTGTTGTCGAAGAGTTCAGTGACAACAACATTTGATATAAATCAATCTTAAGCAATAGAATCGAACTCAATCGCACACGCAATAAATATAAATCAATACATCTAAACTGTTTTTTTTTTGTTATAATACAGTATTATGATGTAAACATAAGTAATATGCGTTTTATTTTAACATAAATATTGATATAAAAAAAATAATATCTTCGATGCGTTTAAAATATCTTAAAGTCAACCATGTGTTAGTTCTATTCCTTCTTGTACACACGCGGACCGTCTTTTCGTTAATATTCTACTATTTTTCTCATGGCTTCGGCATTGTGTAAAATTATTATGAGTAAGAGTTCGGTGAGTATAGAAATAAGAGATCCACACAAAAATAAGATATATTAGTATTGAACTTATTAACCCCATGAATATATATTGAAGAATTTTCAAGTTCAATTTAGTGGTCGGTAACCATGTCGATAATATCAGAGCAATAAATAGCCAAACAAAAACTATTGTAATGATTGCTAATCCAATAGTACGACGATTTTCTGGTAAAATTTTATATCTCATTAACAGATTGTCCAGTAGGGTTAAAAGAATCAAAACAAATATAAAGAATACAATGATTGTGAATAATAAAACAAATAGATTTGTCTCTAACCGATAAAATACTTCAGATGTATTGACTTCAATACGATTTTCTAATTCGGAAATAATTTTAAAAGTAACATTTCGAAATTTATTAATAGTTGGATCAACAATTCCAAACAGTCGATCAGCAAATTTCATAAGCAACTGTTCAAGATCTTCAATTTGAATTGATATCGATTGCATAGTAACTGGAACAATATTGATGAACACTATTATTAAGAGACACAACATGATTGCGTTTAGATACACTGCATAACACATCTTGTAAACGTTATCATGGAAGCCCTTTTTTACTTTCCATTCTCTATTCACTATCTTTTTAACGATTGTGTTATATTTTTAGACCAAAGATAAAGTTACATGGTCGCAAAATATGAGTACGATACTTATATATATATAACTGATTAGAATAGCGAATCAGGCGTCAGAATAATAATAAGACAAAAAAAAGTGATTTGGGCTTAATAAAGTTTTTATTTCGATTCAGCATAATGTTTCATAACGAATGAATTATAGACTTGTTCGATTTATTAGATATTTTTAAAAGATGAAGAAAAATCGACCAATCTCAGTGATATTGATGGAGGAAAAAAAGAAGCTGATGTGACCTCTTCACTATAATTTGTTCTCGAAAAGATAATTAGAGTAAGCGGCGCTTGAGTGATTGTCAGAATCATACAACATAATCAATTCAGAAAACAAAGAATAATAAATTAACAGGTATTATGCTTCATCATAGTGAATCATAATAAATAACGATAAGTCCAAATTTATTTCTATCTTACTAGATCTGAAAATCGTGTTTAAATTTCCATCGAAAGCCTTCGATCAACACCTGAGAACTTTCGTTCGTTAGCTTCTATATATCCTCATATTTGAGATACAGAAAAGTTTCATTTGAATTTTTAACTTTCACACACAGTCTTTTCAAGGCCAATATCATTTTTGAAAATGTTACTCTCCAAATATTTATGATAAAATTAAATCAGATTACACGAACTGGTAACCCATTCAATTATTTGATCTTGGATTAAATTGTTGAGAACACATTGTCGTATATGTTCACAAATAAGTCATTTTA